ATTCCTAGATCCCAAAAATCTCTGAGCACTTTCTCCATTTCCCGAACCTTTATATCCCTATCATCAATCCCAAAAGCAATCAGTTTCAAAATAATAGATAGGTGTCATGAACCACATCAATCTTCATCCCTCTCGCCTCATTTTCTCACTCTGTCCCCAGAGAAGAGAGAGTGAGAGATTTAGAGAGATTGACCTCAAACTCTCAAAAAAAAAAGTTCCGGTCCCTAATGGACAGACAGCTGCTCTTGGGTTCGTTTTGTTTATATTTTTGGTTTAAACTATTATTTATAGTGGGCTAGTGAGGATCCCAAAAATTTAACAACCTAAGACTTTAAGAATCAAAGAATCTAGAAATCTAGGAATCTAGGAATTTAGGAATCTAGAAATCGGAGAATCTGTAAATTCCAGAATCTAGGAAATTTGAAGATTCTAAAAATTTATAAATCTCAGAGTCGATTCCGAAAGTTTTCACCTAAAACGAAACTGGACGAAACTGAGAAGATGTTGGTGTTTAAACTGAGTTTAATACTTTTTTTTCAAAAGAAAAACCCTTAAAACAAAAAAGTAAATGGCTGAAAAGTGGCAAAAGTGTGTACGATAACCATCTCAGAATATCTAGACAACATTATGAATCGAATACGGCAATTAGGAGAAAAAGAAGGAAAGTAAAAAAGGAGAGGAAGAAAGAAAAAAGTTTGCTGAAACTGCAAAAATCGATTTTCGGCACACCGGTCCTTTGCCGGGCCTTGCGGGATCTACCATATTTTCTTTTAGAATCAATAATTTAAGACTAACTAAATTAGATATAATAGAACTTGAGCTACAAAGTGATATTATTTGCAAAATCGTGTCTTGTTTATGAACAAAGTTACAGAAAAAAAAACAGAGGCCCGGTCCGGCCCGGGCCCACGCGACAAGACCCAACCACTTTATGACTTGTAACTTCGTTCATTGTCAAGACACAATTTTTCAAACAGTATCATTTTGTAGTACTCGGCGAGCTCTATCATATCCAATTTAGTTGGTCTGAAAATATTGATCCTAAAAGAAACAATGGCAAGGCCCGCGAAGGGCCCGGCAAAGGCGCAAAAGGCAAAAGCGATGATTTTCGGGGAAAAATGGGAAATCCAAAAAAACTTTTTTTTTTTGGAGATCAAAAAATATTTTTTTGATCTATCTCTCTAATTTTCAATTCGTTTTTTTCCAAATTTCAAAAAAAAGAGGTGTGAACCAATTTTCTTTTCTTTCCTTTTTTGATTGGCATAAAGGAGAAGGCAAGGTCAATAATAGAGTTGAAATTGGTAATTAATTTCGGTGGGTGGCCTTCAAAATTGGAGGAAATTTTTAGGCTTGGAATTGAGAATAGAGAAATAAAAAAGTTTTAGTATCTGAATTGTTGAAATCTTGGTTGTAGATAAGGCTAGTTGAAAAGATAGTTTAGATTTTTGAGATTCATTAGGTTCACACAATCATATTCACAGATTCTTTGTGGTTTTCAGGTTTTACAATCTTTTTGTGTTTTTCTCAGAAATTTTATTTTGAAGCTCAAAAACTTCTACATTTTCTTAAAATCCTGATCTCCCAATATCAAAAGGTGTGAGCCTACATAAAGTAAAAAAACTGAAATTCCACAAATTCAATCATTCGATAGTTCGAAAAAAAAATTCTGCAACTATCGAAGGTTCAGAAATTTCCCAAAAATAATATTGAATAATCAGAAAATATTTTAAAAGAATAATAAAATTTCTTCCTTGTATGTCATTCCGTTTTTTTCCCAGAGGGGGAAGTTTTCCCGAAAGAAAAATCCGCCAGGTCAAATTTGATCTATCATAAAATTTTAGGGGTATGCAAGTCTGAAGAAAATGAGAAAAAAAGAGATTCAATTTAGAGGAGTGAAGCGATGATCTCGCGCCGTAGGCGCACCAGCCAGCCGTTTGAAGCGCCGGAGGCGCGGCAAACAGGTTGGTGTTTTTAAAGAATGGGAATATTTGAAAATGCATATTCACATTTTTCGGAACTTTCAAAAGTTCTAAATTTAAGAAAAAATTCAAGAAACTCGAAAATTCGAGAAAATCAAAAAAAAATCATAAACCAAAAAATCGAAATATCAGAAATTTTAAATTTAAGAAACTACTAAAATCAAAATCTCGAAAAAAGTACTTCTGGAAATTCAAAATTTTTCAGAATTTTCGAAACCCTAAAAACTCAAATGTTTCAGAATTATTAAAATTTGAAAATTCAGAAATTCAGAAATTCATAAAATCAAAATTCCAAAATTCAGAAGTTCTAAATTTAAGAAGTTACGAAAATTCTAAAACTGAAAAAGGTCAGAACAGAATCAAACATTCAAAAGTTCCAAGAACTCGGAAATTCTGAAATTCTGGATATTTGAAATTCCCGAAATTCTGAAACCCAAAAAATAAAGAAAATGCAGAACCCAACTCCAAACGTTTTCTGCTAACTCGAAACCCGCGAATCAAATGAGAGAGTATGCTTCAGAGGAGACGCAGAGATACATAGAAAAAAACCGTGTCGAATTGGAATAAAAATAAAAATACAACAAGAAGATGGGCATCTATTCTGAAGGTAGTCATCGTTGTCATCGTCGAAAAACCACAATTTGGACGCAGAAAAAAACGAGATGACTAGAGAGTATAGGGATTGGAGAGACGCAGAGAAAAATAGGAACCGGTTTCGGAAAGTGCCCAAAAAGGAAGAGGCGTAGGATTTTTATTTAGAATTCCTATATTTTTAATGTGTGTCATATTTTTTTTTGAAGAAATCACACGGTTGTTAATTGAGAAGACACAAAATGGGTAAATTCGAAAAAAGCTAATTTTGGAAAAAAAATGAAATCAAGTGGTTTTGAAAATTTTTTGAAAATTTGGTGTTGATCAAATTCTTCAGAATCTCAAAAATTTATTTATCGGAACTCTAGGAAAGTTTGAAAGCTTTGGATTCACAGAATTTTCAGATACTGTATTTGGGATCTTCGTGGAATTTCGGAAATTTCAGAAAATTTGAATTTTAGGATATTCTGAAATTCCGAGTTATTCGGATTTTTGAAGTGGGATATTTCAAAGTTTGCCAATTTTCCAAATTCTAGATTTTCTCAACTCTGGAATTTTTTTTGAAAGTTCGGAATTTCTGAAATTTCATGATTTCAGGATTTTTTTGAATATTGGGAACTTTTAAGGATTTGTTAAGTTTCAAAATTTCAGGAATTTCTGAAATTCCGATTTTCGTGGAATTTTTTAAAGTTTCCTGATTCTTCAAATTCTAGAACTTCGGAATTTCAGAACTTTTTCAAGGTTTTTGGGGTTTTTGAATTTTCAAAATTCTTGATTTTCAGATATTTTGGTATTTTTTTTGAATTGGAAAATTCAAATTTCTTGAAACTTCTTGAATTCCAGATATTCTGAAATTTCAATTTTTCTGAATTTTGGAATTTTTCTGAAAAAATTTTTTTTCAATTTTTCTGAAAATTTTTTTTTAAACTTCCACATTTTCAAATCTCGGAATCTCAGGAATTTTCGAATTTTTCGAATTCTAGATTTTCTGTTTTAATTTTTCATAATTTCCGGACTTACGCTGTTTTTTTAAAGGTGGTGCACGCTCTCCCACAGAACAATTCCGAACTGCAAATTAATTTTTGATCTACAGAAAAAAAGTTTGGCGCGATCACAATTGCAGGTCTAAAACTATAATTTCAGAATTTTTTGTCTGATTTTGTGGAGTTCCAAGATGATTCAAATGATTCTTTAAAAATTAATTAGTGGTTATAGATTCATGTATGGTCGTTTTCCGGAAGAAAAAAATGTCAAAAATGGTCATTTTGAAAGTTTTTTACAGAAAAAATCTATCTCCTCTTTCAGTTTTTGACATTTCTAGGAGTTCTATAGCTCAAAAAAACCGCAATTATTTTTTCTACATTTTCTATGGATGAAATTTTAATTTGTCTGATAAAACTTTTTTTAAAATTCAAAAACCTCATGAAATTGCACAAAATCGCATTTTTGCGTTGTTTTTTCTTAGGGTACCGAGCTCGAATTGTAATCATTCA